TGTGTCTATGGATAAACAAAACAGAAAGAATAATCCTGATTTCTATTGGGATTCCAGATAAAAGTCACCAGTAGAAAAGAAGGTGAAGAACTTGTAATTGCCACCCCTCATACACTGACTCCCATAAAGTTCAGGTATCATAAAGACAACAATGAGTAAAATCTAGCAGCACTGATTTTTTTTTCTGTCAAGAAGGAACAAATACAAAACTGAATTATTTTCATGTGTGAAACTAAAAAGAACATCAATATATTGGATGACAGAACCCAAATAGGCCAAGTGCACCAAATGACATAAATTTCAACTGAGATTTTTTTCTTAAGGAACACACACACACACAAAGGTCCTATGTTAAGACTGAAGCAATTAAATTTTTTAGAGAAAAAAAGTGAAAAAGAGAGTTGTTGGTTAAGTCACTGTCATCAAGAGAAGATACCAGTGTTAACACTTGACAGGAAAACTGATGTGATCTTCAACTATTACAACTGAAGATCAGCAGGCAGGATGAGAGCGGTCATCCTCCTAACTCTCCCACCTTCAAGGTACTTAACTTTCAAAGTTGTGTTCCATATTGGCAGATGGACTAGGTGATTCTTAAAGTCCTTTCTGACCTAGAGATTTTATAAATCTAAATCTATGAAAAACCAAAAGGGCAGGTCTATGTCATTCTCTAAATTAATAAAGCTGGCAATTTAACACACTTAGATGAAGGCAATTTATGACTATACTACAACTCTGTACAAACACACTTTATGGTTTCCATTTACTCTTGATGCTTAGCTGCTTAATATTTGATTAAAGACTATTTTGAATTCATCAGCTTCTTATGCTTCTGTGAATGTTTTAGCATTAATACTCCTTTTCCCCCTAAATAACAGGTTTGCATATCACAAAGGTAGTTCTACTGCAAAGTTACTTAAAAATATATTTTAGAAACCCAAGGGAAATTAATATCTTGTTCCTTTTGGATTTAACGTTGAGATGGTAGCTGCCCATGACCTTCCCTTCATGGTATACAACCTTACCTTCTCTCAGCAAAGTCAAACTTATTTCCTACAAAGGTATGAAAAAGAAGCCTGTTGATAGGTTCTTCTCACAAAAGGTAAAAAGTGTGTGTCCTTTAGGGATCAAAATGGAAAGGAAGAATTCCTGAGGGGTAATAAGAAAAATATGGCACATGTGTGCTTGGCAGAGTTCTTGGTAAGTCTCTATAATGCTCCCTGCCTGACTCAGAGTCTCCCCAATTTCCTTCTGAGGGCAGCGCAGTTGTACACACAAGTAGTCATTTGTTGGTCTGCACAAGATTATATGAGATGTGATGAACAATGAAATATTAGGACTACACTAGGAACCACTGCTGTTATGCCTTGCTGCATTTTTAATGGCTCCTTAAAATCAGAGGCCACAGCAGTACATTTAGGTAGGAAATACTGCAATTATCTGGCTTTACCACTCCATCTGAAATCTGCTACTATATTACAGTTTATAACTTCTAATAGACTGTCATCTCCTTTGAAAAGGCTTGTACCTGAAAACAGCCACAATCCCTGCACCTGGATTTATTACCAGAGAGTTGTCAATGGAGTTTAAAATGAGTTTTGTTTGTATTTTTCATCCTGAAAATAAGACACCAAAGATTTCAGACCATAGATTAAGTACTGTACAAAGAAGGTCCCTTTAACATGACTTCGGGCAAAGCCAATTACTAAAAGACAATGGTAGATCATTTTTTACTGTACTAAGAAAATTAAGGTTTGTTAAGAGCGATTTGTGATGCTCAGCCTTGGGTAACTGTGCTAGTCTTTCAAGGATATGTTTATGGGACTTGATGGTTTACTAAACTGTGCTATATCTTAACAACTTGTCACCAGGGTGCTTTTGTTAAAACAACATTGTAGTTTAAATGGATAAACATTTTTATACAAGCAAAATGCATTTTAAATGTTTGACTTCTAAAGTCAAATACTGGGAGATAGGTGAAGTGTTTTAAACTACCTAAGCCTCCAAATAACTCTTATTTACTGCTAGAGCTGACTAAAGGAAAATGTGACAGTTGGAGTTAAAACAGCATTTTCCCTCTTTAACGAGACCCAGTTGTATTTTTTAACCTCTTTTCAAATGATACTCTTGGTATCTCACAAGCTATAAGTTTTTTATGCAATAGATTGTGAGGCATCTAATTTACAATTTCAGGGGGAAAAAATTCTAAACCAATTCAAGCAAAGGGAGGAGTACTTTGATTTCAGAGATTCTCACTGATAGTCAGTAAAACTCCAGATCAGTTAATCTACTGAGATTATGTGGATACTCAGAGTAAACCTCAGGATTTAACATCACCTGTGGCTCAATTTCATTTAGTTCATGTCAATGAATACAGAATTTCTGTGACGTGGACATCTCTAACTAGGACAAGACTACATTCTTTAATATCTGTATCAGAAATACATAGGGATTAAACTAAAATTATTTTCAAAATTCTGTGGCAGCAACCTATCCATGCCCCTGGGATTGAGAACACAAATGGCTAAAGCCTTTATCACAACCTCTCCATGATCAAGAGCACACTCCAGCTATGGAATAGGATGGACAAGTGACTGAACACAGCTATGGAAAAACCCTCCCTGAACAACAAATACAAATCACTATTCATTATTACTTATTATTAATATCAGTTATTATAACTATTACATTATACAGTGTTATTAATAATTAATGAGTTAATTTCAAAGAAAACCATATTTGGCCACTCCACTGAAATCTGTACTTCTTTCACATACACAGACACTGACGCTGAAAGGCAATATTTGGCATATGCTACAGTCCCTATATTCCTGTGACTCAGGGACATGAAAGAAAGGCAGCAACATCAATAAAAAACACAGGTCCCCTGTGGCCAAAAGTTCAGGGATAATATGGACTTTAAAATATGAAGAATATGGCTGGGGTTGTAGCTCAGTGTAGAGCACTTGCCTAACATGTGTGAGGCACTGGCTTCAATCCTCGGTACCAGTATAAATAAAAAATAAATAAATAAAACATAGATTTTTTAAAATCTTTTAAAAATATGAAGAATATAAATGAAGGCCCTATAACAATTCTCTTGTCTGCTGGTTCCTTGAATCTTTTTCTCCAATATGATTCCCTTCAAATCTGTAGGGCCAGAAGGACAGAGAAATAAGGCTGAGGGCCGTTTTCCTGCATCCATCAGGAGCACCTAAGCTTTCATCTCATCTGCTTAAATGGAGTTTACAACAGTAACAGCAGACATTCCCACAGATAGTAAATGATTAAAATACTTAGGACTATTCCCTCAGATGAGGATTGAGAAAAGGTGAAAACACGAGAGGACTGGTTGCACACAGGGAGATACCAATTCGATCCTTTCTCTCATCCAAACATTCTACTCACCAGATTCTCAATTCCCTTGTATTGAAGGAGAATGTTAACACTAAAGACGGCGTGGAGGTGGGAGACAATCTCTACAAGGAGGGCTGGAAAAGTAATTCCCTTGCAGGGATTCCACCAATGATTAAAAGTCTGCTGGCAAGAACTTCCGAGTACTGGTCACCTCATTAGGAGGTTGGCTCCAAGATGTCAGACCTATTCTCAAAGTTACAATGCTGACAAATACCTGAAAATGTGACTAAAAGTGTAAGGACTGGAAATGAAAAATACATTTTTCAGTCTAATGCCCCTACAATGAAAGAATTTATCTATGCCTATGTATAGGAGTCTGTCAGAATGCAAATACTTAGCACAGGTTTAAACCAATCCTCCAAAGTAAAGAAAATTACTTCCCTGGTTCTTAAACCTACCAGAAGAGCCGCTCAAATCAATATAGATTATGATTTTTTGTTTATAAGAAGCAAACAGTTCAGGGAAGTATTTTTAAAGTTAGAATTCAATAATGTGGTAACCTAAGCAGGATCTGGAGCTCAGTGTTAGAGTACTTGTCTAGCACAAATGAGGCTCTGGGTTTTATTCCCAGTACCACAAAGACAAGCAAACAAATAAAACAAAGTGGTAGCTTTTCACAATCAAGAACAACTACTGATTTCATTTTCCCAAATGTTTCTGCACTGTACACAGTTAGTTTCAAAAGCACTGTAGAGTCCTTGATTTTAAGTTATACTTAAAACACAACTCTAAATACCCACCCATAACTCCCAGCCTCATTATTTTTACACAGTAGGATTTTTTCCTGAGATGCTAATTCTAAATAAGAACACTGTAGTCATTGCTTCTTGATTTGATATCTTTTCTCCTTTTTAACACCTTGCTAAGTCAAGTTCAGGCCTACCTATAAACCATCCCCTCCTTGCTCATCCAATGCTCTGGCTTTGCCCTACATCCCAACCTTCAATCCCCATTCCTAAGCAACCCAAGTCCAGCCTTGTCCCAGAAATGTGGCAGAGCCAGTCCACTTTCCACACCTCCCTGCCATTCTTCACACTCATCTTCCTTGCTCCCTCTGCCTCAAAGTTTCTTCTGTCCTTTTTTTTTTTTTTTTTTTTTTTTTTTTTTTTTTGTCTGCTGGATATCTAAGCCTCCTACAATTAGTTGACACTAATATGGGCATTATTCCACGTGCACTTCTCTCAGAACTGATCAGTGTATACAGTATCCAATTCAAATATGTACCCTTGACTTGAGGGGCAAGGTAACAGGTTATTGAACTTCAGAGTAAAAGGGCAAAAACCATCCCTTAACAACCTCACAACCTGGACAAAAAAGCTACAGGTCAACATGTGGCCCCTTCTGACTATCATCAAAACTATCAGCAAAACTTAAATAAACAACCCAACTTAAGGAAAACCATAACTGTGCATACCCTAGTTTAGCACGAGTATCACTAAACTCTTCTCCTTCATTACATAATGTGAAAGTTTTAATCACCAGATAGCAATGGGCTGGTCTCTTTGACAACTTTGAAGTATGTAGAACTGATCCAACTGAAAAGGATGAAAACTATTAGCTGAGAGTTCCTAAATCAGCGGAATTTAGAAAAGCAAAGCCAAGCTATCTGTGGCTGCTGTTCCGAGACATTCAGATCCAGACCTGTGAGATGGCTGACGATTATGTAGAGCAGCAGGCAGGACGGGCTCCGGAGAAAAGTGAGGCTTTGCTTCTTTATGTCGGAGGTCAAGTGGAGCCTGGCAAGTTAGTCGCCCCAAAGTAGCTGCCAACTGCTGGCATGTGGAGTCGGGTGCTTCTAAAGATGAATCCAGATCCTTCCTGTAATGATACCACACCCGTGGCCACTGTAAAGTCATTCACTGGCCTTCACTTTCAGCATTCAAATGTGCTGTGGCATCCACTTTTCTTTTTGGTGTCCAAGAGCAGCAAACATATGTGAACACATTAAACAAAACTTTCTTGACCGCCCAAGCTCATCCTAAGAGCTGCCAAAGCAGTCTTCACAAATATCAAGAGTTCTGAATGCCTCCGACGGAGAAAATAACAAGTGATGCTTAACAGGTAAACAGAAGGGCAGCCTACAGAAGAGGTCATTCCAACATCATCATGATCACATGATTAGAAGACAAAGGCCATATTTACTTTATTTTCACATACAGAGTGAAGTGTGTATATGTGTATATCTGTGTGTGTGTGTTTATCCATATCTTTATGCATATAGATCAGCTCAAACACAAAATTCTAAACACTTGAGAAACCTACAAGGATGATTTAATGAGAATGCTACATTTTATCCCACAGGTATAAATTATAACATCTAATTTTCATTATTAATTTTTGGTGGTAACCTCTGCCACCAGAGAACTGTACTACCACTTAATAAGACCAAGTTTATTCCATGACATAGTACAGTGTGAAAAACAGAAGGAAACAGTTATATTTTGTGACTGTTCAGTATGCATTAAATATCTTTTTCAACATTCACAACTCCATTAATTGATACTGATGAAGAAACTGACACAGAGGTATCAAATAATCTGCCAAGGCAAGGTCATACAACAGGTCATAAAGATCACACTCTACCTCTAAGTTCTTCATTCTACATTTGTAACGACACTTCAAATGCACATCTAAAAGGGGAATATAACCTAAAATATTTAAATTGTAAAGAAAATGTGTTCACTGCATTGATGTTTAAGAAAAGAAAATCCTATAATACTCCCAACAAGTTTTAGTATGCTTGCCAAAAAAGTAAAAGGAAAAAAAAAATGAACTGATTCCAACAAGTCTAAAATTTCATTTATATTTAGAATGTGAGCTGAGCTAGGCAAGTGTATGTAATGAATATATATGTGCGTATGTCTCTCTGTGTATATAACACCCACATTATTCAAAATCTCCCAAAAATGTGGAAAGTTTGTTCCAATCCTTCTCTATTTTGTCTACTTTAAGAATTCTTTGCAATATGCTTATGTAAATACTGAGTTTAGCTGCTGTTCTCATTTCTCAAATCTTCTGCTTTTTAATGAATTGGAAAAGTGACAGACTTAAGCAGACATCCTGGAACACAAAACCAAGGAGATATAAACAAATACAACCAGATCAAAAACAAAAGTGTCTTCTTAAAACACTCTAACTCATCACTACTGATACATCAAAAGAAATGAGAAAAAGTAGAGTACATTGGCTTTGGCTAAAAAGTGGGTGGATGAGAGTATGAGTATACATATGTACACACACACACACATATTAACACATAATGGACAACATTTTACCCAAGTTCACTTAAAACTGTACAGGAGCATGAGATCTAAAAGAAGAAAGACTCTGAAATAAAGAGCGAATCTGGGACATGGACAGTATTAGGCTGCTAAGCTCAACAGGTAAGTACCTTCAGTTTTCTTAAAGAGTTCACTTTATGGTTCAATTATATTAATAGCTCACTGACTCTGTGGGTGATTTGCCTCCATCTGCATTTCAAACAGATGCTGAAGAAGATTAACGATAYAGTCAAAAATTCATATCCCACTTACCTGATGCTAAGTCTTCTTCACAAACAGGAGTAAATGGTTATTGTGCTATTAAAAAAATAGTGCAAAGAACATGTTTGCAAAATACTACAAGTTGTGTACATACAATATCCACATAAAAGTGTGAAACTTCACAATGTTGAATACTGGAAATTAAGTATATGTAATACTGTGGGAATGAAAGTTGAAAATGAGAGCACTTTTGATGAAGAGTTGGCAACAGTTATCAATGGATTTTTCACTTTGATAATACAACAATCACATTATTGGAAACACATTTTAAGTAGGACATTTTTGTCATACTTGAGAACTAAACATACATCTGGTATATATCTTCTCCATGTAAGCTAATAATATGACAGATTTTGATATAAACAAAGTCAGTCTATGAGAAATTTTACCAAAACAAGGAAAAGCTATTACAGTTATTCAATGTTGTCTGAATGTAAAAACCACTTTATACTCCTAATTAAAGACTCTATGCTCATAGCAATGTACTAAAAGTAACAAAAAGCAAAACGAAAATTTTTACAGATTACTCTTCTCAAGATAATCACATTGACAAAATAAGCTGGACTGGGGCACAGCTGTGATCCCAGCTACTTTGGAGGCTGAGGCAGGAGGACTGCAAGTTTAAGGCCAGTCTGGGCAATTTGGTGAGACCCTGTCTCAAAATAAATTTTTTTAAAAAAGCCAGGGATAGGGCTGGGGATGTGGCTCAAACGGTAGCGCGCTTGCCTGGCATGCGCGGGGCACTGGGTTCGATCCTCAGCACCACATAAAAATAATGATGTTTTGTCCACTGTAAACTAAAAAATAAATATTAAAAAAACTCTCTCTCTCTCCTCTCTCTCTCTAAAAAAAAAAAAAAAAAAGCCAGGGATATAAATCAGCAGTAGCATGTGCAATACCCATTACCAGAAACAACAGCTACAATGTTCAGTCTAGAAGTGATCAGGGTGAGGTAGTAGTTTTGGCTTTGTTTCCGCTGAGGAAAGCAAAGGGGAGAATTTGCTTTTTGGATAAAGAACAGACATCGTCAACCTTCAGATTTTACTTCCAGCATCTCAACCCATATCCAGCCTGGTGTGAAGAGATGGCAGATGGGACCACGTCTGTTCTTTCAACTACTGAAGCAAGAAACTGAATGTATTCTGCTTGTTTTTATAAGCATGAATATTCAGTCACAATAAGTAGGAGCAAGGGTAAGTGTGCCAACTATATTAAGCAGGTCCCAAATCATCCTTATCCTTTTTCTCCTTTTATAGATTAAGACAAGAAAAGTAAAATCAACATCTAGAAAATACCATTTCTGCCAAGCTTGGAAAAGACTCATTATTCAATGAAATGATGCTGGTTTTCATACTTTTAATGCAAATGTATTGAGTGAAATGTGTGAACAGAAGAAAAACCAAAGTAATTTTGTTAGAGGGGGAAAAAAGTTAAGAGCAACTAAACTGAATTGGCAATTATTTTTTCACTTCATTTTTTTATGCTTTCATTATTTTCTCAAAAAATAGTAAACAGGCATTACAGTCTCAATGTTCATGATTAGCACACACATCAGACTCCTGTAAGTACCACAATAAACTTATACACGGATCCATTCTCCTGTTGTGTAAATAATGCCTATTTGTCATTCTTTACCACTTTATCTTGGAAAGGATTACTGAAACCAAAAAGGATAATTTTGCTATAAACAAACATAAGGAAGGAATAATTTTTTTGTCGTGCATAAAAAATATTGGAATAATTCCATGTCACTCTACCCTTAATCTTCCCCCAAAAGACAGAGAACAAGGTCCAGAAATAAAATAATACAACTCCATTTGCTAAAATGAGTTTAATGACTGTTAAAAGAAAACATAAAGGCCACCTCCCCAGACTGTCAGTGAAAAACATCCATTTAATTCCACCTCTCATCAAGAGTTTTTTTTTTTAAAAAAAGATAATTCATTGCATATACAGGAAAGTTCTTCAAGAAGTCTTGAAAATGAATGAATGCCTACCTCAATGCTCCATTCAAATCCTGTCCTAGTCAGGACATCCCTCAATAAACAAACAATTATGTAGCAAAAGTGGCCTAAGCAATCGGGTTTCCCTGTGTCCCCTGACACTGCCAGATGTGGGGAAAACATACTAGGTGCTTAGGAACCAGCAAGACATCTCAAACTGATGATCCCCTAGGGTCCAACAGGTAATGACTTTTAAAAATAAACAATTCCCAATAAAAAGACAGAAATCAGTCTGCTCTTTAGGATTGAGAGGGGATTTCTTAGATTTCTGCACATCCTAGTAAGCATTCATTCTAGAAGTGAATCAATGCCAAAGCAAGGCCCACATGTGGGAGTTGAGATAGACTTACGAAGTAGCCTGTTCCCAAGCTGGAAGGAGCTGAACTCTGCAATAAAGCATAAAGACAAAGTGGAAAATCAGCAATGGTTTTTAACATGTTTCAATCCACACAGCTCATTACCAGCCCTCTGCAGACTTTTCATCACCACATCACATCACCAGCGCGTGCTGCCCCTTGTCATCTGCTACTGATACAAACACCGTGTTGCTTAATTTCCCCCTTTACATCTCTCAACAACTCAGAGATGCTAACGTGCTATTTACTGAATTCCAAGCTTCTGCGGTGGATGTAATTGCCAATTTATTTGACAGGCAGCTGGGTAATGAATTAATGATGGCATTTCGCCCTGCACTGAGACTAAACAGACACGCATCAGCCTGCCTCCCTGACTTGCTGACATTCAACGCCCTGGTCTCAAGCTACTCGGTTTTGTGGCCACAAAGGGGCAGGCAAGAGGAAAAAGCCCAGACTGACTTGAAAATAAAAAGCCCAAAGGGCTTGGATGACTTTTCCAGTGTGTGACCTACTTGCCAATTTATTCCCTGAAGGCACCAGTTAGTACACACACAGTTCTTTTCAAAAATGAGACATTTTGTAAACATAATTAGTGACCAAATTGCAAAGAATGTGTGGGTAAAAGGAGGTGGTGAAAAGCACAGTTTTTTCTGAAGGTTTTAGTCAAAACAATTATCAATTTGGACTGCCATAGTTCTAACATACAGGGAACCCAAAAAACAATAATTCTGAAATGAATGCAGGGTATTATTTATTTGGAGAAAGAAACCAAAAAAAAAAAAAAAAAAAGGAACACTGTGTTTCAAACCTTTCTGAGGTTCTGCTCTTTGTTGTTTTTTGATTTGGGTTTTGGGGGGGATATTTTTGTTTGGTACTGCTTTTTGTACCAGAGATTGAATCCAGGTAAGCCTTACCCCAGTACTTTCTATTTTTTATTTTGAGAAGGGGTCTCACTAATTGCTGAGGTTGCCCCTCAAACTTACGATCTTCTTGCCTCAGCCTCCAGAGTTGCTCTGATTACCAGCATGCACCACTGCACCCAGCTGAGTGTCTTTTCTTTTTATGTGCTTTTCCTAAAACTTCTCCTTACAAAATTATGCCCCAGCCAGGCCTTGTGTCTCATGTACCAGATCAGGTGTTCCACCTTTCTGGAGCATCCCGACCTCAACCCTGATGCAATAGTCTTCCCTTCACTTTTATCTCTTCTACCAAGAAGTCTTGGTTCTTGGTCTATGAACCACAGGTAGGAAGGACCAGCAGGTTTATCCTTCTTTGTTTCACAGCACATCACAATGTCTTGTACACAAGATGCATCAAGTGAGCATTTGTTGAGTCAACATGTGAATAAATGAACGGACAGACTTTATACAGAAAAAAGGCTCAGGAGAATTAAACATCCCCCAAATACATTAGATGTGATTTTTTCTCTTTTAATTCTAAGCTATTTGAGAAGGAAAGATGGGATTGTAACTGTGTCCACATGGAGCAAAGATAGCACTATTCAGGGCATTACTAAATCAGGGTCCAGAGAACTTTCTTCACCTCAGTGTTTCAGACAAGCTCAGAGCAATAAAGCAGCACAGACATGGTCATGCATACTGGACTCAAGTCTTAGAAATCCTGCTCCAATCCTGATCTCACAGCAGTATGAAAAAAAAGATTCACGGTAGTCATGGAGACAGCCTCTCACACAGTGATTAACCATGTGACAGTGTCACATGTTTTCAGCACTCTCAGGCCTCCATGGAACAGGTGAAGGCAAAAGCCAAGTTAGGTCTCCACCAGTCTGGAGTCATGCCCCTGAGAAGTAAACTCATTTTAGGATGAATTACTCAGAGAAAACATGGGATTTGTTTATTTCATTCACCCTTCTTCCTGCAAAAGTATTTTATTCCAGAAGGAAAAGTACCCTTCCAAAACCACCTCCCCACCCCCACGTACACATCATCTTATTGTATACCAAAGAAAATTACATCCTTCAGGTCTAGGAAAGCTCTGTTATGCTCATTTTGCATATATATTGTACATTACTCGGGGAGCTAGGTGGAGAAGAGGGCTTTGTTGTGCATATTTGTTCTGGCTGTTGTTTATGCAGGTCTAACTGAATGAGGGAACAGTGGGTATCATTTCAATTTCTGATGTCAACATCAAATTACTTATTTAATTTCATGCCTGGTGAAGCATTGTATAGCTACACGCAGAATCATTTCACTTCATTTGTTATGCTGTGCTTTCGAGGCGATTGGCTTGCCTTCCAACTGACAGCTTTAATTACGACATGAATTTGATTGCACTGCTGAGGAATTAACATAATGCAACAAAGCATTTAAGCACCCTGCCTTATAACCCCCTCCCACCTATGAGCACAGACAGACACATGAAGGAAAACAGACACTAGATCCTCACGTATGTTAAAGGTCCACTGGAATTTGCTCCAGCATTTGCTAAAAGCTATATAGAAGCTCAGAACCAGAGGCTATTCACATTTGCCAACCCTCTATACTCACCATTTTCTTTCTTTCTTTTTTTTTTTTTAAGGGAAGAGATTTGCAGCATTCTGTTTTGATTTCTGATCCTGGCAGACAACTTTATCAAAACCTCTCTTCCATGCTACCTTACCAAATGTTCGGGACACTGGCATTTCCTCCTGTCTTACTCTTTCCCCACATCTTTCTTGACTACTTGCTAGCTCCCTTCAATTATAGCTGGAGAATTTGAACAAAAGTAACATTTATGAAATAAAGAGATGTCTCTTTGTTCAGTCCTTCAATTCCAAGATTCTGGCTATGGCCTTGTATTCCTGGGACACTACTCCTGATCACCAATAGAAGCCCCACCATAAAAGTACGGATATAAGAAGTTACCAGCAACAGAGAGGCCAGGGTGTAACTGACATTCATAACAAGGATCATATAACCTAGGAGCTTTGCTATCAAAAAGTTCCAGTAAAGCATCTTGATCAAGTATGCTTAATCTAAGTCCCCATCTAAAAATACAGCTACAAATATTTGAAAACTTCAATAATTAAACAAATCAGAAATTACACAAGCACCTCTAAACAACAGGCACCAACATACTATGCTACAAAAACAAAATAAATGTTTACAAACAACATTTTTATAGTTGAAGATTTATTGTTAATTATTCATTTATTGACACATATTTAGAAATTGATACTGCTTTCTCATGTTACAGGAGAAGTCCTAGAAAGGCAGATAGGCAGTGGTACACTATCAAACACACTGCAGAACAATTCTTCACTGATCAACTTCATTTTAACTTTCTGCCCTCCCCCATTTCTAATAAGAGAGGGCTTCCATATTTCTTGCCTGAAGACCTTAATTGTGTACAAGTTATACCCATTCTAGTAGGTGTAAGAGGTATTTCCTTTCAATTTTGATATTTCTCTAATGATTAATAATTAAGACAATCTTCTGATGCATTTACTAATATTTCAACTTATTACCTATTTTTAAAAATATTTTTTTAGTTGTCAATGGACATTTTGTTTTATTTATTGATACGTGGTGCTGAGAATCGAATTCAGTGCCTTACACATGCTAGGCAAGTGCTCTGCCACTGAGCCACAACCCCAGCCCAAGTTCTTCCCTATTTTTTAATCAGGCTATCCTTTAATTGTTCAGTTGCAGGATTTCTTTACATATTCTGGACATTAAACACTTATCAATTATATGATTTGCAAATATTTTTTCCCACTGAATATATTGTCTTTTCACTTTCTTGGTAATACCCTCTGATGCACCAAAGTTTTAAACTTTGATTATGTCCCATTATGTCACCACTTCTCTTCTATTGTTCATGCCTTTGATGTAACATTCAAGATTGTGAAGATTTATCTCTGGGTTTTCTTCCAAGAATTTCTCTGTTTATGCACTTATGTTTGGGAAACAAATCCATTTGAGTTTATTGTTGTTCATGGTGTGATGTAGAGATCCAAATTCATCCTTTTCAAGGTGGAAACCCAACTGTCCCAACAGCATCTCTTGAAGAGGAAATTTTTCCCCCATTGAACAGACTTGGTATTTGGTATGGTTTAGATATGAGGGGTCTCCCAAAAGCTCATGTGAGAGGCAATGCAAGAAAGTTTAGAGGTAAAATTATTGGGTTATGAGAGACTTAACCCAATCACTTTATTAATCCACTTGAATGGAGTTGCTGGGTGATAAGTGTAGATAGACAGTGTGAGGCTGGAAGAGGTGGGTCATCAGGGGCATGCTTTGGGGGTATATATATTTTGTCCCTGGTAAGCTGAGCTTAGTCCCTCTCTCTGATTCCTGATTGTCATGTCCTGAGCTTCTTCCCTCTGCCACACTCTCCCACCATGATATTGCCTCATCTTGAACTCAGAACAATGGTATTGGCCAACTATGGACTGAGACCTCTAAAACGATGAGCAAAATAAACTTCCTCCTCTAAAATTGTTCAGGTCTTTGGGTCACAGCAGGAAAAAACTGACTAAAATAGTAATTTTCTCCAAAATCAGTTGAACTTACAAGTATGGGTTCATATCCAAAATTCTCAGGTCTATTCCGTACAGACTATATATGTATATTTGTACACGTGTATGTGTGTGTGTGTGTGTGTGTGTGTGTGTGTGCGCGCGCGCGCACGCGCATGTATGGCAGTACCTCACTGTTGTGATTACTGAGCTTTGTAGTAGCTTTTGAAGCTGGGACAGGCATGTCCTCTAATTTTGTCCCTTTAAAAGATTATTCTGGCAATTCAGGAGCTAAAACCATTCCATATGCTTTTGAGGATCTGGTTTTCTATTTTTGCAAAACAAAAAACAAAACAAAAAAAAAGAATTCTGATGGGTACTATGCTGACTCTATAAATAGCTGATGGTAGGTAGTGTTGACACCTTAGTAATATTCATTTTCCCTATTCATTGACATGAATGGTTTTTTGCAAATTTTTTTGAGTTAATGAGAAGTGAGGTCAGAGTAACAGTCAAGAGATCTCAGTGACTGTGCTGTTGTCTCCTCAATTGACATGGCTTTCATTTTTCCAATCTAAGAAGAAAATCTGACCAAGTAACTTGGGAATAATTCTCTGTGCCAATAAGACCTCACATTAAAAGCGTAACAAAATCTCAGAAGAGAAGTATTATTGTTAACAACTTAGGTTTGGAGATTATCATTATATACTTCTATCACAAAGTTAATGAAACATAAGAACACACAAATATATTCTTACACAAATAATATACTCATATTCAGAACAAAAGACTGAGTTAGCACTCAGTAAGTTAGTATTCATATAAATGACATTATGCCACATTAGAAGTGGAGATAATTAACTATAACCAACTTATTTGAAATGCTTTGCTAAATTCATTTAATTCTTATAAGAAGTTGATGTTCTATACACCAAATTTCACTCTAAACATCACAAATTTTCCCGAGATACATAGGAAAGTGGCTGTGTCTTGGAGTTGTCTGCTTTAACTGAGAACGAGATGAATGTAATATTATCATAGGGAATGGCTGAGTAGTCTGCACAAGCTTTTACACTACCCAATCTCCTCTCAGTAAAAAGGTTTTGAGCATACATTTCTAAGATACACATGTTTAAAAATTATATATCAACTATTCTTGCTTATTACAGTGAATATTAGTAAAGTTTAACTTTTCTCTCATAAAAAAGAAGCATTAACATTTTTTCCTTTAATGTGATGGATAGTTTTGCACACTGTAATTAAACCACTGCTTTCAAGCAGATAGGAAAAAATAAGACTAGAGATGAAGGAGTTTTCTCCTCACTACACATAATACCTGTTGCTCTTTGTCCACATTCAGGCATTCTGAACTGGTCTCTTTATCTTTCATTGTATTTCCTTAACCTGCTAATATTGCCTTTGTTGGTATCAACAATAAAAATTTCTCTCCACTTGATCCTTTTACAATAGTTTCCATATCTTGCTCTCAGAAACAAAAATGGGCAAAGAATGGTGATATATGGTGCATAAGGGCAGAAGGCAAGGTAGTCCAAAGAGGAACAGATGGTTCTCAGGAGAACAGAGGGGAACCAGCCCTGCAGTGGATGGGATGCTGGAGAAGGGTTAGTGCCAGATCTAGCAGGTAATGGGCCCCTCCAGCAGTACAGTTTATTCTCATAAGGTCCCATAGAAATCCATCATTAAATGTAATTCCTTCTCTTACCAAATAAGTAGCTACTTCTTCTAATAGGAAAGAAATGACAATAAGGGATTGTTACTGATTTCCTAGGAGAAGAAATGACAAAAGGCCAATAGCTAAATGATGTCATCTCCTAGTTATGATACTGCCTTGACCGTTTCATTTGTTAGTAATAAAGTTATTATTTATGAATAATAAAATTGTTACCACTTCTCTTTGTAATCTGTTGTTTCTAAGGTACTAAATATTCCCACCTACTTTAAATTTGTTAAAACACATTTTAGATCAAACTACATTGTAAAATAACATCTACGAGGTTTAAAAAGGTACATACCAAGAAAGTGTGGGCTGCAAAAACTTGGACACACAGCCTGATCTACAGAGGAGGGGTGGTTACTAAGTGAGGCTGGAAGCCAGACTGCACGCTGTTGTGGTTTTATTCGTTTTTTTATTCAACTTACATCACTGAGCCTTTCCCGGGAGCTGCTCCGGTGGAAGCCCTTGGATTCTCCACTGGCACTCTCACTGTCACTGTCCCTGCAGCTGTTCTGCCCTGGCTTGAGCTAAAGGAAAAAGAAAAGAGTGAAAAGGAAAAAGTCAGTGGTATCCTCACATGAATATTTCTTAGCCCCTGATCTTCAAGCCCTGTCAAGACGGAACAATTTAAGGTGTTGATCATAACATTCTCTTCAGTTTCTGAACACTGCACAGCAAGATACCATGGGAAGCAGGGCAGCAGAAAGTAGGACAGGCAGAAAAAAATTCCCATGAAATGGCACTATAGCGAAGGAAAGAACAAGCCTTGAACAAACATCCCAAAGGCCTAACCTGGGCCATGAATTGGGAAGTAGCCTCTCAGAAATTTTTCTTCTATTTCAATGTGGTTCTCCTTTCAATAATAAAAAGACCAAAACATGGAAGAAACGAAAGCTAGATTACAGCAACTACGATTTCCCACTTTATTACCTCTGTTTTCTCCCAAAGAAACAATAAAACAGGACAACAAACAAGGATTCTCTTGCTAGGTAAAATGATGTGAGGCTGTGAGGCTGCCCTGCAAGCACTGAGAAGACATTGCTGACATTGTTTGAAACACACGCTGGAGGTCTTTTGCAGGGTTACTTAAAAGTACCAATTAATGCCTACAACTTCAGTAGTGAAATCAGTATTCATTCAACAAATACACACTCAGTGCCACCATGGGGCTGGGACCAAGTGCTGTGGATACAGTGCTAGACAAAATAAGAAAAAGAGAAAAGAGAAATTTCTGACCTTATGAAGTAAACTTCATATTCATATTCTAGAACTTTCCACACATTAGCCAGCTCTTGACTTTTACTACCAGGCTCTGATTTTCCTTTAAAAAGGAATGAACACAGAGAATTGAAAATCACTGGCCCATCTAAGTCCATAAGTCACACATACATGGAACAATGGTCTATGATGCCATCACCAACCACACGGTTCAGGGACGCATAAATTTACTAGATACAGCCCTTTACCATGTCTGCATTCTAGCAAGACGAAGATAAATGTAAATACACAATGAAATAGTTACTAAATGCAAATCAAAAAAGTAGCTGGTGACAAAAGAGAAGTGGATATTTTTTGGAAACCCTAGATTTTAAAGAAGGATTTGGGCTCATTTGGGTGACAGGAAAGGGAAAGACAACTTTTTGGTGGTACAAAAGCAAAAGAAGCATCAAGAAGGAAAGGGTCAGGAGTCTCATCTGAAAAGAGGTACCCTTTAGGAGAAAACAGGAAGAAACAGGGTGCATGGATGAGAACATAGACAGTCTCCAAATACAAGCTCAGTTTTTCTAGATATAATGGAAATTTAAACAGCAAAACAGTCAACAGGTAGCAAACGTTTGCCTACAGGTTTCCAAGTAGCTCTGGAGCCAAGTGTGAAAATGGAACCAAGATGAATGGAGAATGAGTCTGAACTAACAATGTTGTACCTTTAACAAGCCTCTTCTCATATAATGCTCAAACCCCTTATGGTGGCACTATCCACAGAGAGCTTCCCCACATTCCACAATATAGCATTATTTTTTTCACTTTCAACCAACCTCTCTATAAATTCATTTTATTACTTTCTTCAAAAATCTCTTCTTCCAGGAAGTCTTCTATAATGGAGCACATAAAGCCATCTGATTTTACTTTCTTTTCCCCTGAGCCCTAACATGCTTAATTTTCTTCCAAGCTAATGTTAAACTTTCTAATTCTAAGTTAATTTAAGTGCAAGACATATGAGCCTTTTCTTATTACTATGGGATTAAAGGACAGGTATTGTCTTTTCAAATTTTCACCTTTATAAAACATATAATATAGAGAGTACTTTTCTAAAATGAACATCACCTTCACTCCATCTGAAATTCCATGTCCCTTCTGTCCCGTGCTTTTCCATATCAGGCCACTTCTGTCTGGAATGTTCACCCATATCCACTCTATGCTTCTGTGATCAAGTTGTTTTTAAAATTTCAGATCTTCTCTATTATGATCTTTGAAGAGCTCTTTCTATATTCATTTTAAAAAATATAACTTCAACGTTCAGTTACCACATCATCCTTCAATAAATGCCTCTGATAATTATAATATACTTTCAAATCCCCAAAACCTCACTGATATAATAATAATAATTACACTGATAAGAAACTCTGTATGTGGTGTGAGATCCCCTAATTCATAAGTAATACCAAGAGCTCTTGTTTTACAGTGAGTGTTAAATATTGTGGATAGAACTATCTGCAGTGTATGGATGAAGAAGCAGAGAGCATGTGCTGTGCTCAAAAGTAGGCAAAATCTAGAGCTAAATTAACCCAATGTTTCTACTACCTACTGTTCTAATTTTCATTGTACTTACTTATGGATTTATTTAATCTTTCTTCCCCACAGTACTAAGGTTTGAATACAGGGTATAGCACATGACACACAAGTGCTACTCCCTTAGAAGTCAATTCCCTTAGAAGTATCTTACCTATGAGCTGTATCCCCAGTTCTCTTTTAAATTGTTTTGAGAAGAGAGCTCACTAAATTGCCTAGACAGGCCTCAAACTTGCAAACTTCCTGCCTCACTCTCCTGAGCAGTTTGTTAGGCGATGTTCATAAAACTTAGCCACCCAACTTAAGATTCTCGAGAAATATACATCCAACTAGGAATTAAAGATATAAGGGCATCCAGGCTTTTCCTAATATGCAACTGGCTTACCAATGCCTGGACTTGGGGCCTTTCCATGCCTCTTCAAGAAAACAAAATGTTGATCTTAATAAGATTGATCTTAATAAGACTTCAGTGGCCCTGATGTAAGGAATCTGACTAAATGCTTATCTAGGTTACCGGAAACAAGAAAGACTTGAGAAAGTAGCTTGCTAGCATTCTCAGTGCCCTGCGAGCAAAGGCATAGAAGTCAATTCCCTTAAAAGGGTCTTATATAAAATCCACCAATGCTACACTTTTCTCCTCCAAAGCCAGGCTCAAGTTTAAAGGAAATTTAGGATTTTAAGCTGTCAGACAGCTCAATATTTCAAAGTCATGGACTGACTATAGTAAGTACTAAAGCTAAACCATAAGATTTCAGGCAAGACATGTTCATTCCTAATCCCATGAATATATTTTAAAACTGGCATTTTTAGCCACATTCAGTGGATTATTTGGAGTAGCACAACTAACTCAGAAGTTGTCATCATTTACCTGAAATTCCCAGGTATAACTGGCATCGCAGAGACATTGCAAAGGCCAGTGCTGGCTTAAACACTTAAAGACCTTAGGAAAATTCATCTGTCTGCAATGATTTGTCCAAGCATCTCTGGCGGCACTTGCTATCACTGATGTAACTGATTTCTTACTACCAGCTCTTAGATACCTCGGGCCTTTATTATAACCAATTCTCTGATTTGAAAATTTTTACCCCACCTGAATACTACATAGTTCAAGTACCAGAATTAGATCAAAATATCTACAACAAAAGGTAGACAGGCTAGTATCTGGCATAAGTGACAGAAATATTATCAATTAGAAACTTCTTTATAAAACTATAAGTAGTCAGTTGTTTTTTATTAGATTTCATTGTCAACAGTAGTTTTATAATAATGCTGAATATAATGCACAAACAGTTCCCATTATAGTGCTAATGGTATTAATGGCTAAGTAGGAAAATAACAATCCATTGTTTTATCACTCCAAGTAAACATCACCTTGGACTGTGTAAGAGTGAAGCAATTCTGTGTACATCTATAAGAAAATGGGAGTCATTCTTTTTCAGCACAGGTATAAAAAATTCAAAAAAGGTGCTAGATTTGCCCAGAAGGTGTCAATGATCCATTAAAAAAAATTTACAGAAGGACAAATTATGTGGAAGTGATATCTATGCCCAGAAATTATAAGTTCTGCAGTGAAATACAAAGAAGTGTCCAAAATTAATCTCTTTCCACACTTCCAGTTCCTTAGAGCAGTACACATCCTACTTTGAACTATTGAGTTTCCCTGTATAAATCTAAATGAACTCATTTTATAATATTTTA